AAAACAACCCAAATACTTTATATTGAAAGATCTGCTGCTTTCCCCTAAGTTTGTGAACTAGGTAAGGATATTTGCTCTCTCACTTGCGTGTATAGTGCACTGGAGGTCTTAGCCAATGCACAAAGGCAAGATGGAAAAGAATAAAGATTAGAAATAAAGAAGTAAAAAACTGTCTTCCTTTTTTAAGTACATGATTGTCCACGAAGAGAATTCTAAAGATTCTCCCAAAGAAACAAAAAAAGTACTAGAATGAAAAAACAAATTTAGTAAGGTCATAGAATACAATTTAAATGTACAAATTTAATTGTATTTCTATAGATTAGCAGTAAAGATATAAATGTAACTTTTAAAATGTCACTTACAATAGCATCAAAAATATGAACAATATGTGGACAAACTTAACAAAATGTAAGTAAAACCTATACACTAAAAAGTTTTAAGTCATTATCAAGAGAAATTTAAAAGGACGTAAATATAGGAAGAGAGATGCCATTTCTGCAAGTTCTGCATTTATGGATTCAGCCAACCATGGATCAAAAATATTTAGAGAAAAATAAAAAATAACAATACAAATATTAAAACAACACAAAAAAATACAGTATAACCACTTTTTACATAGTATTTACATGATATTATGTATTCTAAGTAATCCAGAGATGATTTAAAGTTTATGGGAGAAAATGCTTAAGTTATTTGTAAATATTATGCAATTTTATATGTACAAGGGACTTGAGCATCCACAGGCTGTAGTATTTTCAGGGATCCTGAAATCAACTCTCATGGATACTTACAGACAACTATATTACTGAATTAGATTTACTATAATTTGACTAAATACTTTTATATCTATTTCATGTCTGTTAGTCTACAGTTTCCTTTTCTTGAAATATCTTGGCTTGATTTTTGTATTAGCACTTTAGTGATGCTACCAAGAACACATACAATAATCCTAAATATATAAACACCTAACAAGAGTACCTCAAAATACGTGGAGCAATAGCTGACAGAACTAACAAAAGTAAGAGACAAATCTAAAAATGAAAGCTGGGGACGTCAACACCTCTCTCTCAAGTAACTGAAGGAACCAGTAGACAGACTGCCAGTTAGGACAAAGAAAGCCTGAACAATCTTATTAACCAATGGGAGCTAGCTGATATCAACAGAACATTCTACACAATGACAGCAGAATACACATCTATATACTCTCCTCAAACACAAGTGGAAAATTCACCAAGATAGACAATACACTGGGTCATAAAGCAAACCTAAAACAATTTAAAAGAACTGAAATCATACAAAGTACATTCTCTAATCATAATGGAATTAAAATGAGAAATCAATAACAGCAGGTTAAAAACAAATCTCTAAACACTCAAAACTTAACTTACAGAAAATTTTTAAACATATGAATTCAATGAAAATTAAAATATAGCAAAAGTCTCTGGAATGCAACTAAATCAGCACTTACCAAGAAATTTATAGTACTAAATATTTATGTTAGAAAAAAGAATTTCAAATCAATAATCTAGGTTTCTACTTCAAGAAACTAGAAAAGAGCAAAATCAACCCAAATCCTGCAAAAGGAAGAAAATAAAAAAGATGAGAAATCAAAAAAATGAGAACACACAAAAAATTTTAAAAATCATTGAAAATAAAAGTTGCTTCTGTGAAAAGACCTATAAAATTAACAAACTAGTAAAATATACCAAACATTTAAGAAAAACAATCAAACCAATTCTAACCAAGCTTTTACAGAAGACCACAGAGCAGAGAACACTTCCCAACTTATTTTATGAGGTCAGCATTACCCTCATAACAAAACAGGACAAAGATAGTAAAAGAAAAGTACAGAATAACATCTCTTGTAAATAAAAAAGCAAATATCACCAGCAAAATATTAGCAAATCACAGTTAAATTGGCAATAAAAAAAAGAAGTTGTTTACAAACATGTATACACACACAAACATCCATCTATATATACACACAGGAAAAATGAAAAGCACCCTTTCAGAAAGTATTGCAAATGTTTTTTTTAAATGTAACAAGACCAATCCCCAACAGAACTCTTTCAATTCTCTAGAATATCTAAATAAAAAGAATTCAGTCTGTTAATCACTACTATAATAATTAGTATCAGTGCTAACTTATGTCTAGTGAGACCCCCCACTCACAAGCTGCAGAGGCCCTAATCAGGCAAAACCAAAGGAATGTATTCATCCCTCTACCTACATCAAACATTTGGTTCAATTATCAGCACAAAACCCAATTAGAGACAAGAAACAACGAGCCCTTCAATGATATTTCTTAAAAACCCAAGTGCCCTTGTCTTGACAAGTGTTCCTTTTTCTACAGAAATAGGTAGTATGAAGATAAGAAACTTCAAATTGCTGCAGCCATCCTGCTAAGAAGCTGGCTTGACAATATCAACACAGAGAGGAAAACAGAGGGAAAGAGATAAAAATAGATCAGCTGGAATCAGATTTACACCAGGATTTCATTGAGCTCTTTTTTTTTTTTTTTTTTAAGAGACAGAGTCTCACTTTATTGCCCTCGGTAGAGTGCTGTAGTGTTACAGCTCACAGCAACCTCAAATTCTTGGGCTTAGGTATTCTCTTGCCTCAACCTCCCAAGTAGCTGGGACTACAGGCACCCACCACAACGCCCGGCTATTTTTTGCTGCAGTTTGGCTGGGGCCAGGTTTGATCCTCCCCACCCTCTGTATATGGGGCCAGAGCCCTATCCACTGAGCCACTGGTGCTGCCGGAAACTTCTTTTTTTGTTTAAGACATTTTGCAATCAATTTTCTGTTATCTGCACATAAAGAGTCCTCTAATGCCAAGGGCTAACTACATAGAAGTCAGAGGAACGCTGAGTTCAGTTACCAAATAAAAGAAATGTTTAATAGTCAAAGATAAGAAAAAGAAAAAAAAATTAAGTTAATGTTTCTCTGATAATCTAGGATTATGCAAATAAAGGTCCATCCATTTCCCACCTGTATGTTCCTACCGTAATAAGAGAAGCTGGACTTTAAAGTTTCTTCTAACTCTAAGACTCTGATTCTATAAAGGCCTACTGAGTTTGAGATGTCAAATGAGACGCTCTTTGACTTTTTCTATTTAAGATAAAAACTGTTATTTTAAATTCAAATTGTACTCACTAAAAAGAGTAAGAAATACACAGAAGAAACAGTTTAGTACAAAACAAAATCTTTAATTTAAAAATTAATCTTTCAATAAACTAAATGCCTTTCTACAAACATAAAATAGAACATGTAATAAAGGATCTATTTCCACTTAGCTCACTTGACTAGAAAAGAACTGTAATCATTCAATAAATTCATAAAAACATAAGCGCTTAATTTTGACTACCAAAAATTCTGCACATTGAATTTTTGCCTTTTCTATCACTTCATTATAACTTTCTTCTCACAATGAATGTTTCCTATTAAAAACATTAAACACCATAGAAAACACTAAACACAATAAAAAATTTCCTATTAAATGTTTTCTCTTTTAAGTTTACTAAAGCAGTATCAGAACCAATATCTATTTGGTAAATGTTAACACATTACATGTTCTAAGAAACATGGCTTGAAAACAGTAAAAAATCAACATCCAATTCTTATTTTTAATACATTTATAATGGAATCCTTTAAAAGGGCTTAGGGTTTATCATTGAGTTTAATATAAAGGGATAATTACAAACAGAGGCTCTAATTTTAATTTTAATTAATTATTGAATATAATATCTTTTAGTACACTAAAGCCTCATATTACAAATCCATAAAGCAATGGAAATTTTCCTAACTATAACCCCTGCTGAGGAAATATGCTTTATTTCATTATGTGATAACTGAAATCATTTTTAAGACATCTTCCTTTTCTGACAGAAAATAAATAATAACAAATTATAAGAAAAGCTTTTTCATAGTGTCACAAAGATAACTGCTATTACTTGTATTACTGTGATGGTATACTGTAAGTAATAAAGAAAACTATTTTGCATATAACTAGTATATGTATCTTCTTACTCCATTAAAATTGTCTTGCCTTCAGCTATTATACTTAAAAGATAACCGTCATGTTAAGCATTTAAAATTAGGAAACAGAGTAAAGACTACAAAGAACAGCTAGACAATTCTCAAGACTTATCTTTGGCTTAGTAAAAGCTGTCAGCTAAATTAGTTAAGTAAGTTAACTTACTTCCTCAGTCAGTTATATTGGGAATTTTAACAAGTAGAATAAGTTCAAAAGAGGCAGAAAGAACAAATTCAAAACAAACACAGCTCTTCCCAAAATTTTAATTCACATTCATTGTTAATTTTTCCTTAGGAACTGTGAATGTATAATAAAATCCACTCAATTTGCCAACAAAAATCATCATGGGCATGCTTCTTGTTTGGGTTTTATTTAATGTACACAGATAGTACTGCTCAAATGTCCTATCTATCATTTCTTCCTCTACATAGCACAATGTATGAGAATTGGTAATGTGTTGAAGGAAAAAACAACAAATAGGTGCATACCTTTCCTGACATTAAAGAAGATAGGAAAAAACTCCAAAATACTGAGATAAATTACTAAAGCATCCATATGTAAACAGAAAATTTACCTCATCTGTGTATTCCAAAGCAACTAGAACTAAATCTAGATGCAAACTTACAAAAAACATACATATTTCTTCAAATTACAGTTCCACAGAAATACTCAGATTTTAGAAAGTTCTTTAAAAAGTGAGCTCTTGTTCTAAGAGATGTAGGTGGACACACAAGAGAAAACCACAGACTCAAGAGGGGAGGAGTAAGGAGGGATTGGTGTGCTTCCATCTAATGGGCACAATGTAAGGGTATATGGCACACCTCCTGGGTGAGGGACACAACTACAGCTTGGACTTTACCCAAAAAATGCAAACAAATGCAACCTAATTGTCTACCCTCATATTAATCTGAAAAAAAAAAAAAAAGATGGAGGTAGAGTGTAATTAGAAAAAGTAAACTTACCAAATATGTTAGTGGAGTGTCCTTTCCTGGCAATAGGTCGAAGTTCATTATGTCCCCACCCATATGTCCTATAATTATCCCAGGCATGTTTCATCATCTGAGAAGAGAAAAAGTATAATCCATCAATTTTAAGTTATTCACAAACCATTATTTTTATATTTCATGTAATTTATGGTTCTATTCCTACATCCTTTGTCGGGAGCCAAATGACGCCAGATGGCCGCCCATCCCCACTGTCTGGAGTATGCTAACCTTTATCAGATAAGGAGCTGCTTTTCCCTTATCAGACAAGGAGCTGTTCTTCCCAGAGAAGCCATAAAATGTTTCAGACACATCGTTTACATTCCCAGCAGGAGATTG